CCATGGCTCCTTTCTAGGATGGGGTCCCACACTGAAGAGAAACTGTTGAGATGAGAATCATATTGAACAGAAGAGTGATAAAAGAAATGAAGGAGGCCCTGGCCAGGTAGATTAGTTGGTGAGAGCATGGTCCCGATATGCTAAGGTTGTGGGTTTGATCCCCAGTCAGGGTACATATAAGGATCAACCAATGTAAGTGCATGGATAAACGGAACAACAACTCAATGTATCTCTCTTCTTCCCTCCCCCCCACTCTCTAAAATCAATAAAACATATTTTAAAAAACAAAGAGCACTGGCTGGTGTGGCTCAGTTGGATGGAGTGTCATCCCGTAAACTGAAAGGTTGTGGATTCGATGTCCAGTCAGGGCACATACAAGAGGCAATGATGTTTCTGTCTTGTGTAAGTGTTTCTCTCCCTCTCTCTCTCCCTCCTTTCCCCCCTCTCTAAAAATCAATAAGCATGTTCTCCCATGAGGATTAAAAAAAAAAGAAATGAACGAAAGACTAAAACAAATTAATAAGAGGAATAAAAGCAGGAAATCTCAAAAATCAAGTCACCTTATATTCCTTAACACTACTGGAAAATAACAGAAGAGGGAGCTCTGTGAAGTTAGAAAAAGCTATTCTGAGCCACTTCTAAGAGATCAAAAAAACCTAATTTTACATAAAACTAACAGAAAAACATAGAGGTCAAATTCCCTATAAAATTATCATGAGAAAAAAAAAGTAGAATAGCATTCCTACAGACAATAAAAGCATGCCAGAAAGACATGCACATATACCAAAATTATAACTTCTATTTCAAAATGAGCTAAAAGACATTAAGAAAATTATATAAGGCATGAAATAACAGTCGGAATTAGCAAAACTTGAAACGACTCAGGAAGGTATTAAAAATTTAAAAAAAAAACATTTCAAATAGAGGTTAACTACAAGGAACACTAAAGTTAATAAACCCAATAATGTCATAAGAGAAATAAAAGGTGAAAAGAAAATATTTTAAAAATCAGCCTTGGCTGCTGTAGCTCAGTGGATTGAGCACAGGCCTGTGAAGCAAAGGGTCACCGGTTCGATTCCCAGTTAGGGGCACATGCTTAGGTTGCAGACCAGTTCCCAGTAGGGGACACATGACAGGCAACCACACACTGATGTTTCTCTCCCACTCTTTCTCCTTCCCTTCCCCTCTCTCTAAAAATAAATAAATAAACTATATATTTTTTTAAATCAAAAAGAGCCTTGGCAGGGTAGCCCAGTTGGCAGCACCATCCCAATTCACCAAGGTTGCAGGTTCAATCCCCAGGAGGGATACATACCAGAATCAACCAAAGAGTGCCTAAATAAGTGCAACAACAATTGATCCTTCTCTCTCTCTAAAGTCAATAAAACATCAAAAAGAAATGAAGAAAAAAGATAAAACGGACTAGAAAGAAAGAGTTACATAGTGAAGGCAGACAGAGAATATTTAGGAGCCCCATGACATATCTCAGAACGGCAGATCTCATACCTGCCAACACTGACCCAGAATGACCAGTACCAAGAAAATTATAACAGAATTACTGGACCTGAAAGAAAATATCCTCAATATATATAGACAAAACAGCAAGGGACTTGTAAGGGAAAGAAAATTAGGTGATCATCAGTTTTGCCCAAGATAAAATCTTTGGCTAACACTGTTTTCATGAATCTGAAAATACCCATTTGCAGGAAATACAAAGAGACAGAGGGAGCACATTGTATTGGACCACGAGTGGACAACCATCAAAATCTTTTCAACACATAAATTGTGGGGAAAAGAAAGGGATGAAAAACTAACCTGTAGACTAAGAGATCAAATTTTTAAAAATAGGAAAGAGCCCTGGCTGGTGTAGCTCAGTGAATTGAGCATGGGCCTGTGAACCAGACAACCGCGGTTTGATTCCCAGTCAGGGCACATGCCTGGGTTGCAGGCCAGTTCCCAGCAGGGGACATGCAAGAGGCAACCATACACTGATATTTCTCTCTCTCTCCCCTTCCTTTCCCCTCTAAAGATAGACATAAAATTTTTAAAAAAATAAAAATAAAAAATAGGAAAGAGTAAGCTGCAGTATCTAAGTATATACAGTTAGTAACAAAAAAGAGATGCAAGCATGTAATAGATTACTATGAAAAATCAGGATATCAGATCTCACTCTCTGATCTTAATCTAGGGCAGCACTATCCCACTGGGCTTTCTGTGATGATGAAAAAAAAATTTTAAGATTTTTAAAACTTGATTTATCTTTAGAGGGGAGGGGAGGAGAGAGGGAGAGAAATACCAATGTATAGTTGCCTCTCTGCTTCCCCTGCTGGGAACTGGCCTGCAGTCCAGGCATGTGCCCTGGCTAGGAATTGAACCATGGTTGTTTGGTTTGCAGGCCCGCACTCAATCCACTGAGCTACACCAGCCAAGGCTTGATGAACATTTTTTTATCTGCTGTCCAATACAGCAGCCATCAGCCATATATGGATAACATAAAATATAGCTATTAAGAGAGAGGAACTGAAGTTTTAACTCTAGTTTAATGAATTTAAATAGCCACATTCGGCTGGTAGCTAACCCAATCTCAATCTCAAAAAATCTAAAACTTAACCCACCACTGTCCCTTCTGAAACCTCCCCTCCTATGGTCTCACTCTCAGCAGATACCACCATTCATCAAGCTGAGCATCCCTCTGACTCCTTAATTCAGGCTTAACATCCAACCAATCAAGAATTTCTGTTAATACCATTTAAATATCTCTCCAGTCTGTCTATAATGTGTAAGTCCCACTGCCATGTCCCTTCTTTAGGGTACCATCATGTCCCTTGGACCATCCTAATAACCTTTTAACAGCTTTGCCTGCCTCCGATCCTGCCTCACCTACAATTCATCATTCACACTTAAACCTTCAGTAGTTGTTCTTTCCTATTAGGATAACATTCAAACTCACTTACATACAGAATGGTGAGTTGTATAAATTCAAAATCACGAAACCTCACTAACACTCCATACTGGCTGCAGTCTTTCCAATGTTTCCATTCTCCAGTGACTACTGTCCCATCCCTCACTCTAAAATCTTTCATGCATATCCCTTTATACTCTTTGCAGATAACTTGACCACTGACTTGAGAGAAAAATAAGTCACTTCATCAAATACTACATTCTGTCAATTCCATAACCTACATAACTTTTGGTTCTGTCCACTTCTATTTTCACCTCCATCATTTCACTCCGTGCCACACCTACCACTCCCCTGGACTTCCACCTTTCTTAACTAGCTTTTCTGTCTCCAACCTTGTTGCCCTCAGATCAAGTCCCCCCCATCACAGATAAAAACAACTGTTATAAAAATAGTAATTCTCAAATGTTACTGTGCATAAGCATCAACCTGGGATCTTGTTAAAGTACAAAGGTCTGAGTTTTCCCTCCCTCTGCAATGCCACAGGAGGACTAGCCACTAGGTTTTCTGATGCACGTGTTCCTTGGATTTGACAAACTCAGCTTTAAACTTTAAGTCTAAACATACATTCCTGTTTAAAAGCTTGTTATCTTTTTCACTTTCTTAGAATAAATTAAGATTAGGACTCAGACTTATCATTTACTATCAGTCATACTAAACTTTTCATATCCCACCCACTCATCATAGTCCATCCCTTCTCAACCTCTTCCCAGACACTGTTCCTTCCCTCTGCTTAGAACACTATGCCTGGCTATCTCCCACTCACCCTTCAAGTCTCCATTTTAACATCCCATCCTCTAAGCACCTCCAAATAACCTCAGCTCAGTTAGTTGCCCCTGCTCTGCACACCCGAAGCATCTTATGCTTCCAATACCATGCCCTTAGCAAACTTTATTGTAATTATTTCCTTAACTGCCCATTTCCCCCTCTGACCCAGAATGTAAATTCCATGAGGGTAAAAAACCATGTCTGTCTGGCACTCAGTGCCTATACAGCTCCTAGCACAGAGCAAGTTCAAGTAAGCCCTTCACTAATTTGTCTTTACGTATCCATCCTGTTCCACAGTGTCCTAGCCACATCAAACTACTTTCAAGTTTCCAAATATTTAACCTCTCCTGCCTCTGGGCTTTCACGCCTGTTGTTCCCTCTAACTTCCATCTACTCTTTTCTGACCACCTAAGATGCATCCGGTACCCAGCAATTGACACCTTACTTAACCCTATTCTCCAGCAGGATGTTCCTATTCAATTCCCATGACTGCCTGAGTGTCTGATCTCCTTACTCATAAGAATACTAAGTTTAGGAATTTTGTTGGTGTTGCCGGCTGCATCTTAATACAACCATCTGATAAGTAGTGATGGTTCTATAAAATTCATAGAATGAACCTCTGATCCACAATCCAATTCTTCCTGTACATAACTCCATAACCAAAATCCACAACTCGACTCTATTCAACAATCCCAAGAAATAGCCATTCTGATGGCATCTCTAGTAGTTTTACCAATCAAAACAAGTAAGTTCACAAAAGTTTGGCTTAAGAAAATTTTTACCTAAAGACAGAGAGAAAAGTCCCATCAACAAACTGAGGGTGTTTCTAACACAAACCAGTTAGAATCCTGCTGGGGGCTTCCAATGCACTCAGAAAAAAATACCCAACTGGCTGGCTTCGCTATATAAGCAGCATAAAATGAACTGGCACATGTCCTGTGAAGGGCTTCAGGAATGTTCTCATTCTCTTACATAGCATCTTATTTTCTTCAGATTGGGTGAACACTAACTACTAACAACGTAACACACGTGGCCTGAAGAAGTATGCACCAAGTTTCCTTCACTCTAACCAAACTACACCTTTTTTTGGTAAGCTTTTCAAAAGCATAAATAAAAAATGCACAAGGAGTAGCAAGTTGGACATGGTACTTCTGAACCACAGGCATATACACGTTTTTAAAATGCACTTTCAAAAGAAAAAATAGATACATGTATGTACATATATGTAAATAACATCTTCTACACTAAAGGAAAAATAACCTATCACACTCACTTCTGAGTCTTCTGCACTTTCATAATCCGAGAGAACAGCTGAAAGAAAACAGAAATGTGTAAAGAAAAAAGTAACAAATTATTATAATCACACTTCCTGACTATGTGCTTTAAGTAAGGCTAAAATTATCAGCAACCTATGAGGTGGGTAAAATTACAGTCCCCAGTTACAAACGCGAATCAGGCTCAACGAGTGACCTGCCTAACTAAGATCATGCTGCTAAAACCTATGTTCTTTAGTACTAAGCCACAGAGACTCACTCTGCAGCACCATTCCCCAAAGCCACAAAAACAGGAGAGGATGTCAACTGCTGGAAATAGGTGACCTGGGTGTTTGGGCAAAAAACTCACGATGATGCTACTCACCATCGCCCTCGATGCCATCTTCACTCTCCTGAAGGAAAGGAGAAGTCATGGGTTAGTTTTGCAATTTCCAGAGGGTGAAGAGCTGAAGACTCAACGCAAAACGATTAAAAAGGGAAATGAGGAATGCCACATCTTTATCAAGTAGCCTCCAAGGGCGATACGGTCCCTAGTTTCCGGATAAAACAGTCGCTGTCCACCCGCAGCGGCTCTGCACTGCTCCCGGAAACCCCCAGCCCCTCCTCTTTTTTCGGAGCTCCGGATGGAAGCTGCACTGGGAGAACCGTGCTCCTCTCCAACACTATATGCCACAGCATCTACCGCCAGCTCTCAGCCTCCCCTCCTTACCTACACCACGCCCCCAGGCCCCCAAGCCACCCGGCCCTGCCCACCCCGCCCGCGCGCACTCACACACTCAGACTCTTCAGCGCTCCTGGCACCCCCGCTCTCCACCCTCCGCAGATGAAGGGCCCCAGCTCGGCCTCCACGCTGGGAAGGTAGAGAGCCGCTGCCGCTGCCTCCAGCGCTACTGCTGCAGCCCCCGCCGCCCCGCGCCAGGGAACCGCCGCTGTCTGAGCCGGAAGCACCAGACTCTTCGTCCTCTGTGTCCTGCGAAGCTCGCTGCCGCCGCCGGTCCGCCATCTTACGGAGAACCGCCGTAGCCTACTAGTTCCTTACGTACGACCGTCGCAGGGGTTGCTGGGAGGCTAGAAAGCTAGTCCCGGCATGCTTCACTTACGGCACTGATGCCTAGTGTTTTCGGGAGATAGGCGGCTGGGGGCGGGTCTGGCGCCCTGCGGCACGTTTGCGGACCAGCGGGATTACGTAATCTCGGTTACGCGAGGAGGGTGCGTGGCGTGCCCCCTGACTTCCTCTGGGCAGGCTCCGGGCGAGGAGATCTGTCTTTGGGCAGCCGCCTTAGGCTCTTCGCTCGGCCATCTTGGGTTTTCCGAGTGGAAGGCGTGGACCTGTCACAGCTTCACTGCGGCATTGGAGCTGTTCATGGTTTTATTTTTCAATTTCTGGTTTCTGCCTACGTTTGAGGCAAATCATTTTACTGAAGTTGTTTAGTAAAATCACGAATCAAGGTAAACCTTTAAAGTCGTGCTGCATCAGATTTGCCACACCGTCCCATTTTAAGCTAAAGGAGGGCGGAAAAACCTGTTGTCTGCTCTGAAGCCTGAGCACTTAAGTGTCGATACATTTTCCCCTTTCCATTTCCTCTTCTCGCTTCATGTATCTTCCCACCCCAGCTACATCACCTCTCCCAAAGTGCCGCCTGGTGTGATGCTAGTCTTACCAAGGTTTTAGAAGAGATGACTAGGGACTGTGGTGTTTCAATATACTGACATGATTTTCCTTTTGGTTATCCAGATGAGGGAATGCTTTGATTTTGGCAAGGCATTTGTCAGCAGTGAAAAAGAAGTCTTGAGTACGGGGTGCCGCAAAAGTAGGTTTACACGTTTTGAGTATGTGAGTTTATTCGTGTATTATTATATATTATTGTAGGCTGGAGGGTGTGGCTCAGTGGACTGAGCACCGACCTGTGAACCAAAGGTTCTCCAGTTCGATTCCCAGTCAGAATATATGCCATGGTAGTAGGCCAGGTCCCCAGTTAGGGGGGCCAGGGAGAGACAAATGACTGACATCTCTGGCACTGACGTTTCTCTGCCTCTGTCTTCCTCTCTTCCCCTCTCTATAAATAAATAAATAAAATCTTAAAAAAAAATCTACAAGTACAATTGTTTGATGCTTCCCAATGAAATAAATTGAAGAAGTTCAAAGATTAACAGCCACAATAGTTTATTTACAATTGAACTCTTTATAAGATATTTACAAGACAACCAATTTTACACATCAGAAATGGTATCAAAAGTATGAATTACAACACAGACAACAATATGAAATTGGTTTAAAACAAAGGTGAAGTGGACAGACAAGCAATTTCTCTTTTTAATTTATTAACACTAGCTTAAACTTTGTTAAAGAAAGAAACAAAGAACTATGTTTTAAGAGAACTGCAGGACCTTCAGTTGAAGATTGAATTTCACAGTGTTGTACCCCATGTAGGGAAAAAATAAGACTAATTTTCCCCCCACACCCTAACACACTGTAATTTCATTCTTGGAACTTTGCTAATCTACTCTCCAACCTCCTTATCAACAAGCTTCAACATATCCAAATCAAAGGAGAATCTAGAAGAGGGAACAATAAGAGGTTCTAGGAAGAGGGAGAACCAATGAAATAGAATCCACTTAAGTCTGGCCTGAATAGCACCTCATGGATTCTTCTTAGTCTAGCTCAAGTTCAGAAGCTGAGGAGTCACCTTGGTAGGGCACAAAGAAAAGGTTAATTTGCTAACCCACATCCAACTTAGGAATCCAACAAATGCTGAAAGTCCAGGAGAAACTGAGAGGAATCAAGGAACAAAGTAAAAGGGACACTGACTGGTCTTTTTTCTGCTTGGGCACATTATAAAGAAACAACATAGATCAGAGTAAGAAAGCCAAACAACCTGCCATGTTAAAATGATGGAGAATGTGGACAATCTGGCCCAGTTTTTCTAGAAATATTCCTTTACTTAAGGTGTGAGATGAGAGCCCCTAGTGGAGTTAAGTCCTATTTCTCTCTACATTCTTGCTGCAATGAAGTTCACAGCAGGTTCCCTTGTGGACAGTCCACTCTCCTAAGAGATGGAGTTACAAATGAAAACCCAAAGCCACACACACACACACACACACACACACACACACACACACGGAGAAATAAGAGCAGCAAGATCATCAAAGAATACTACATGTGCTGCCGGAATAATTCTTAAAAGTCAAACCCAGGGAGCACAGATCAACAACTCACAAAAGCTTTAGCAGTGGGAGGCCCCTGAGGAACTTGTCGTTTCTTCCCACAATGGTATCCCATTCTCTCATGCTCCACTGATGGGCCGGCCACACACCCTACATACCTTGGCTTCTCCTCTAAAAGTGCTAATAATCTGGGGACATTCTCTTCAAGGATAAAAGCCCCTATCTTCTAGGAGATTAGGCCCCTACTTGTTTTCACACAATAGTCCTAAAGACTAAAGAAAGGCAATTCCTGTATATTTAAGACCAGAGGTCTTGGCTCTCTTTTCCTTCCAGATAGTTACAGGGATCTTACACAGAGACCAAAGTGGCCTGGAGTGCTGTCCTGACCTTTTTTAACGAAAGGGGTGTGTGTGGTGGTGGTGGTGGTGGTGGTGGACCGAGGTGGTACACATACAAATCTGTTTTTACAAAGTGAGTGGAGAAGCTCATTAGATACATCTATTTCAAGATGTAGACATTTGCCAGCCAAAGGAAGCATGTATTTCCACATACACCCTCCCACCTTCTTTAAATCTCTATCCCATCACCAAGAGCTCAGCTAAAAGAATATTGCCCAATGAAGGAACACTTGAGAAGTGATGGACACAAGGGCATCTATACAGGTTCTGGCATGCCATCCCCAAATGCCAACTGCTTTCATTTAGAGCCATAACTTGTCCCAAATTAACCATCCCCATTCTCTTTTCCAAAAATGTTACTTTTTGAAGAGTAGGGGAAGAAATTCAGTTACCCATTAACTAAAAATATAATCACACCCAAACATCCCTTCCCACATGGCCTTATCACAGAATAGTTTTAAGAGAACTACCTTTTTAGTAGAGATCAGGCATGTTCCGGGTGGTATGGCTGTAGGCAGAACTGCCTTTTCAGACCTTTATCTAACAAACTCTCCAATCTCTTCCACCCTGTGAAGATGACTTGCTCCACCACTTCACTTACTATTCCTCATCTGGTCCTTAAGCTTAAGGTGAGGTTTTTCTTCATTTTGTTTTGCATAGGGTAAAAACCACTATACTCAATCTACATGGAAGGGTATATACCAGGGCGAGAAGAGTGCCATGCAGCACAGGTCCAAAGGCAGGGGATGCTTTATCTTCCACAAGTCTAATGAAAGAGCCCTTTTACCCCTTCAACATAGGCAAATGTACAGAAGCAGATTCCCGGAAGCTTCCAAATCTGCCATCCTAGAGATTTAGCTTGAGAGCTCATTTCCCCACGAAGAGGAAAAGATATCCCAATCACCCTCTATAATTCACAATTAGCCCAATGAAAGAGATTTTGGAAAATCAGAGTGATGAAAAAACAAAACCAAGACCAAGGGAGTATGGGAGGGCATTTTCAGTGAATGATAACATACGTAAGGACACAGGTCACATATACAGGTCTCTGCCACTCTCTGGGAATGGCATGCTACAACTATCTGAAGACAGAAGGTTCTTGCCAACACAGTTATTTCCTACAAGTCCGGTGAGGTGTTTGCTTCTTCTGGATCTCCAACCTGCATCGGCTACGCTCATCCAACCAGGGCAGCTCAAAATTGCTGGCAAAAAAGGATAAAGAAATCAACTTCCAAGACTATACGGATTCAGTGTGAGTATGACAGTAACTCCAAAAAAGACAATGTCCCTCACCACTCCCTGCCCTGACTCCCAAGTCCCAGGTTTGGAATGCTTTTCTCCTGTTTCAAAGCTAGAGAAATAGTATGCTATTGAATTGATTAAATAATTTATTTCTAACGTATAAAGCAATCCTCCTAAGATTCCAGACTTGGGCATCTTATCACTGTGAAAACTAGTTGTCCAGGTAGCCTCACTTCTTCTGTCAAAGAACCATGGCTATCCTAAGCCACCGGCTCTACTTACATCTGGGCTTACATGCGGTCTGAAAAAAGGGAGGTGAAATGCTGACTACCTGAGAGGGAAGGGAAAAAGAACCCTTTATACTTACTGTGGAGTTAATTTTGGTAACGGTCGTCCAAATGCTACAACAGGCAAGAAGGGAGTAATCATCAAACTTTCAACTATGGAAGAAAGCCAAATGCAACCTTGTTAGTGACATAGATGAGAAATGTCTGGCAACTATACCTGCTCCAACATATTGCTTATTCATTCAGAGCAAGCTGTAACCTGGAGCCTTACACCCTTTTTTTTTGTTTTGTTTAAAAAAATCTACTTTGGGATAGACAAAACTTACCATCATCTGGCTCAGGGAAAAATGAGGTAACCTCAGGCTCAGATTCCTGAATTCCTTTCTTTTTATACATTCTGAGCTGCAATCGCTGTAAAATTCTTTGTTCCCTGATCCTCTGAATATCCCATCTGGGAAAAACAAACCAGACAAACAAAACAAACAAACAAACCCCACATTACTGAAAACCTGCTCTATAAAAGCAACTCACACAATCCAGATGCTAGGAAGTTCTTGGCTGACTCTTCTTAATTGGGGTTAGGGGGCTGGAGGTGGGAGATGTTAAAGAGAACTGCCTGCCTGGTTAGGGAAACTTGTTCATGTCTAGCAGTTCAAATCATGTGTTGGTGCTCCACAAAGAGTAGAACCAAGGAAGGGCATTCCCAAATAAAAAGGCCAAACATTTTACCTACAAGTAACACTTTAAACAAAGATACGCAACCAACTGGAAGGCCAGTAGTTTAAGAGTGCTAAGAGCTCTAGGGTTCTCCACAGCATGGATGAGAGAGGTGTCGGAGTCCCAGGGCTCAGTCGTTCCCAGGATGAACATCTCTAGCCTCACCTTTTCCTTCTCTTCTCATCCAGCTCCAGTTTTGCATGCCGCTTTGAAAACACACTGTCATCTAGGTTCTGTGTAAAGAATAGCAGCTGATAAGCTATTTATCAACACATGACACATGTATACTAACTCATTTCCAGCTCCCTGGAAGGTAAAATCTTTCACCTTCAGGTCCCACCTGAGTCTGTGAGTTCTATGGATATTATGGGAACCTCCTGGTAACAGAATCAACAAAACACATACCCCTTCCTTCTCTTGTCCCCACCCTTGTAGAATCTCCAAATTTCAAAATCATTTCCATAACTTTCCAAAGGAAAAGTCACATCAAACTGCCCTGGCTGGTGTGGCTGGCTCAAGTGGATTGAGTGCTGACCTGCGAACCAAAGGGTTTCCGACTGGATTCCCAGCCAGGGCATATACCTGGGTTTCAGGCCAGGTCCCCAGTAGAGGGTGCACAAGAGGCAACCATACATTTATGTTTCCCTCTCTCCCTCCCTACCCCTCTCTAAAAATAAACAAATACATATAATCTTTTTAAAAAAAAGTCATGTCAAACTGAAATAACCTGTGAAACTGTCATAAGCCCTCCCTGCTTCCATATTTTAGAAGAATCTGAGTTTGAAATAAATATCATCCTTTTAAAAGTCAAGTAAGTTTGGAATATATAATTTTGTTGTGGAGGGGTGGTACATGCTAACCTTCCTACTTAATATGAAATCTAGCTTTGAATACTCCCTAACTATTTATTTTTTAATACATCACTTAACTATTCTGGGCCTCAGTTTTCTCATCTACACAACAAAGGAGTTGGAGTGGGTAATTTCTCAAGTTATCTTCTGGCTGTCAAGTTTTATTTAATCCATCCATACAGTTACTGTAACATACTCAAGTTACACCCCCGTTCGTACTGTTTCTCTCACTCTCTCCCACTGACAGGTCCTGGGTACCTACCTCCAAAAGGTCTGAAGGATTTGGGTCCCTTAGAGGCTCTACTGAGTGGTCCCTCCAAGAAGGAACTAGAAAAAAAAGAAAAAGAAAAAGAAAAAGAAAAGGAGGAGGGGTGGAACCACTCTTAAATTCAAGGTCATACAACCCTCCTGTTATTCACTAGGACAAGAGGTCAATCCCCAGTAAGACAAAGTTACCAAGTGATAGGAATCCATTCTATGGCCTCACCTGAAGCCACATTCAGTGTCCTCGCTATGGTATAAAAGAACCTAAAATGCCATTGCAGTCTGCCAAACACAGGATCACAAAAAAGCCCTAAGCCAATACCTGACAATTCATATAATGGATGCTATTGCAGTTCCTGAAAAACAACTGAAATTTGTAGTCATTTTGAAGTCTACAGTGGAATCATACCAAGGTGTCTCAGTCTCCCACATCCAACTGATGGGGAATGCAGCTCCCACCATCCCCATCCCGCCGACCCCCACCCGGGCCCAGCCAGCACGGTTCCTATTCTACTCACCAGCCAAGACTGAAGTTTCTCCTGCAACACTTGATGGCATCAGACACCCTGAATAATGCAGGAGAGAAGAATCATCTCAGTGTAAAAAGAAAAAAAGCCCATGCCCAAAATGGAGGAAAGGATCATCACTGAAGTTCTCACTAGGAAGCCATTTTGGGTTTTTTTTGAGTTGTTCTTTTGAGAATTTCTCTCTGGGGGAGGGGAAGAGGGAACGACAGACAAAAGAAAAGAAAATAAGCCCACCACTTTTTTTTTTACACTGAGACGACTTCTTTTCTTCATTATTTAGGGTGGTTTCCCTGCAACAGTTGATGGCCAAGGATATCAAACCTTAAACTCAGAACATGGCAGGTGAGTAAAAGTTGACCCTATTTTTCAAATAAAAGATCAGTGTTCTCAAAACTTACATATGTAGTCTTCTTAAACAGCTCCCTCCTCCCTCCAAACAAACTACCTTGCTGGTCCAGCCTGAACAACATGCACAAAGACTTTGGCTTCCTTAGAACAAGCCATTGAGACTTCCTCTTGAGATAGGGCATCAAGAATAAGGATTCACAGGTTATTCACAACTCAGGCTCCTCAAAGGGCTGGGATTTCCCCCAGTCAGACTCCTTCTGTACTGCTATGCCCACAATCTCAGAGGTGCTTCGAATTTTCTGTACTAGGGCAGATAGGGTTTTCAAAAACAGCCAGTCACACAGAACAGCTCTGGAGCAAGCCATTTCCCAATCCCGGATGGGAAGTTGCTTCACGGTTTCTCTTGTTACACAGCATTGCCATGGCAGCAAGAAGGTTAACTTAAGGATGAACCTGTTCAACTGACTGAACCAACAAGAAAACCTGAACCTAGATCAGGATCCTGGTCTATTTCATGTACTTGAATGTGAGCCCTAATGAATTTTAGATAATTAAGAAAAGTAATCTATCTTTCCCACTTAATTTTGTCACCAGAACAGCCTAACAAAACCTGGAGAATGCTCTTATCTTACAGGAATGGATTCCCATCCCGGTCCCTGTTGGGGCAAGACACAGTGGTAGAAAACTTGGGGCTGCAGCTCTATCCACGGCTTCCCCCACCATGACCCCAGAGCACGCATAGTGACTGTCATACACTAACTTTACACAATTGAAGGCACGTTGTAGTTACTGAATGATGTAGGAGATAGGGGAGCATCTGTGTGGAAGCCATAAAGAAAAAAGGGAATGAAGACCAAGGTCCCACACCCCACACCCTCCCCAAGCAGCTCAGATATCCCAAGATAGTCCTTATTGTTTGAAAAATAGTTTGTAGACCATTTTATTTAAATATATGAACAACCAATGGGCTACTGCAATCCAAGTAAACTCTTCACATTTAGAACCTTTGTGAAGTATAGTAAGATAAAGTAAGACTGTTTGGTCTTTGGCAGATTCCTCCTGCCCCCCCAGACCGGGACATAGAGATACAGATGAATGTTTATATAGTTAAAGAGCGGAGGCCCAGGAAAAATTCCCCACCCCACGCTGGCTCCCCAACCCAAAAATTACCATTGGCCCCTGAGAACACCCAAAGACCACACCCTCCCAGGTTTCACACAATATCAATTGCAGAACAGTCGTGCATGGCAAAGTATAAGTTCTATGCATTTCACAGCACAGAAAACCCTTCTTTCAGAGGGCATGCAAGTTGCCGGAGATTACGCCCCCAAGTCTGGTGCTCTTGTGATGAGCAACTTACTGGCAAACACATCTCCCAGTGTTGTAAGCAGGCAAATACATTGAGCACATTTTGCTGTAATTCCATCTATTTGCAATGCCTGCACAGTGTCTGTCTCTGGCTGTTAACTTACTCATTCTTGACAGAACTCTGCTTTATTGATTGCACTTTTTAAAAAATGCCAAAGGCATTTTCACACTTGTTAGCTTGACCGCCACCACTAGGGTATAAGAGCAAGTGTTCTCTATGCCTTACTTGCTACAGTCTCCTCCTTCTTTGGAGAGGATTCCCGTAATGGTAACGGTGATGGGGGAGGCTGGTGCCAACGACACAAATACATTTCTGTGGTGGAAAGGTACGGCAAATCTTCTATCTCACTTGAGAAGGCTTTCTCCTTGGGATGGGTGCTGGGTCCCTTCTGGGGAGTGGAGAGTCTTGGTGGGGTGTCCACTGAAGACCGGGTCTTTTCTGGCGTTTCTTGGCTCCTCAATTCACGTTTACAAACAGTTTCAGATAAGGAACCACAGGGCTCCTCTTTAATGGGAGAGTGCTTAGGAGTTTTTGTTTTGATTTTTGAAAATTCAGGAGCCAGTTTTTTAACAGGAATCTTTCTTTCTGTACTTCCAAATGGGGATTTCCTATTAGATAGGGAAGAAAACATAATACACTTCATTCACTTTTGGATAAAATCTGATTTGATTTCATTTTGGGGTAAGAGAACTAGCTTGTATTCAGGTATCTAAATATCTAGGTTCATTTGGCAGTCTTGAGCAGAAACAGCATCGTGCTTAACAGTACATGTAATAGGCCCTTAGTAAATGTCTGTTGAGCAAGTGAGTTTCCATGCTTAAAAACCTCAATAGTATCCTATTGTCTACTAAACCTAAAAAGGTCCCTATTTCCTCAATAGGGACCTGTGTCGTTTAGCTAATATTAGGGGCTTATTCCATTCCTGTCAATCAGAGACCAGTTTTCTTATTCTGCACCCCTTATCCTATACCAGGCTAGATACAATCTCACTTTTTTTTGCTACCTGTTCACTCTCCTTCTCCCAGCACCCCAAATTCCTAGAATGCCATGTTTTCTTTTTACCAACCTCATTTTTATACTTCTTTTTCAAGATCCACCTGCTCCTTCAAGTTTCACTCTTCTAACTCAAAATAATCTTTCATATCCCTGAATCTTACAAAACTTAGTTTGTCTCACTGTTGTCTATCTGCCTATTTTATTGCAGCTGAATTCTCAGTTTTTAAAATTTATGTCATCCTCACAGCTAATCTCTTTGGGTACAAGGACAATTCTATTTTATTGTTTTATATCCACTGATGCCTAACACAATGAAGGAATTTAACACTTCCTAACTTGAAGCGCACTGCTATAGTTTTCTTTAAGAAACTCAGCTGTCATATTTGTTGCCCATTCTCTTTAGGACATATTCTGCATTCTGTAATTATTACTGTGACTAAAATGTTCCTAATAGATTTTTAGAGCCTGCACAAGAATGTCTCAAGATTCTTTCTCAGAAGACCTTATAATTCAGAATATGACTGTATTAAAACTAATTCTGAAGTCCCAATCCCCTACTATCACTAGAAACAAGTGTCCTCATCATGGCCAAACAGCAGAACAAAGTTATCAGCACACCTTTTGTGTCCCTTTCCACTCCGCCCACATGAGAAAGGCTTGGGAGGCAGAGTCTGGGATGTCTCAGAAAGCTCTGGCTGGCACTCCAGTTTAATTTTCTCAGATAGCTCGGTTTCCTCTCTCTCTTCAGTTTCATAGCCCTGAAACAGCTTATGCCTTTCTTTCTCGTTATCCTTCTTTACCAGCTGCATCCGCCTTTCCATACGTTCAATCCGAGCAAGAAGCTAAAAAGAGAGTGGCAAAATGCAGACTTAAAACAAAAAAATTAAGTGCAGATACTTAGTTCCACTTAGGAATCTGTATGGTCTTCTCTTTCCATGAACCATAATAATTCAACTTACTTTCAATAGGCAGACATTAATCTAAATAGTTTTCCTTAAACACAATAGAGAAGACAAAGCACACTGCTTAATTGTAGGGGCTAACCTAGTTGGGCTGGGACGTGGGGGAATTTGTAGTTCATTCTTCTGAAAGAAGATCCTCTTTATTGGGAGGGGCCACAACATGCCTTTTAAATGGCATGGTCTCTGCTACTGCTAACCATGTGGCTCTAAGTCAGCTTGGTAGTTTACAGAATTAACCTTAGGTTCTCTAAGGAGACCCTAGTGTTCTCCCAATTCTATCCTCTCTACTTCCACGCCAAAATGCTATACACAAGGGCAAAGTCCACAGCGTACATTGAGAAGGAATTAAAAGCTCACACAGCCACGGTGCCAATAGGGATTGCAGTGTTACTTGAAAGGGGCCTGGCATGGGGGGCTGTCACCTAAACAATGAACACTCAATTTTGAGGAATTATAACAGAAACCATTACCCCTAAATCCCATCAATGATGACATATGCACATGGCCTTGCTGCTTTGCACTTGAGATAACCGAAGAAAATATCTATTTATCTGAACACTGACTAAAAATAAAGTCTTTTAACCCTAAAGGGAAAACTACATACTCAAACAGAAAATGGATGTCTATTAGCATTGAAAACTGCACATTAAAATTCTGAGAGAAGATGCCAACTGTGCTACTTATACCCTATAATAAGAATTTATTTGGGTTAGACAGTGATATTAATGTTGCCTCTGTTACATCAATTTAGCTGCACAGATTTCAGTAGAGGCCAAACAACTGGAATAAGAGAAACAAGCTTAAGCAACATTAAGACTGCAATACACAACAGAAGCAGTGAATGCCAAGTTTAGACTGACACTCTATCCTTAACTCACCCCACTTTTCCTGCCTAGGAAAATCGGGAAAGAGGCCATTACCTCAGGAACTGAGTACAAACCTCCACAACCAGGAGAGAGCCCCCCCTCTCCACCATACTCTCATTTCATCTCCTTCTGTTTTGATTCACAGCCTTAAGGTTACTTAACCACGGTTTGTGGGTGACATTTCCTTAGTTTCTTCTCCCACACCCCCCTGCAATGTAAGGAGATGCCGTGTTGTAATTACAGTACCATCACACCCCTAGACTGCAGTACAGTAGCTGAGCAGTGCCACCTCCATGTTGAGTAACTTCCACAAATCAACACCATGAGATATTTTAAATGAGACCTGCCCCAGCTCCCGTTCCACCTTGCAGAATGCATTCTCCAGCAAAACGGCCACTGCCTGATGCGATTCATTTGGAGAGCAGACAAAATGAATAGCCCTCTGCTCTCTTGCTCAGCCCTTGGCACAAACCATGAAGAGAGAGAGGGAGAAAGAGAGAGAGAGACAGGGAGAGAGAGGGAGAGAGAGAGGCTGCTGCAACCTTAACACAATTGTAGAAACCATGTTTATTTTTAGGCAGCTGTAAGGTATGCTAGCACAGTAACACCCCATCACCACAGCTTTCTTGACATCTTAAGGAATATGTTTCAACACATAAGGTGCCCTTAACTACTGCTGCAGTAAAAACAAGCCAACAGTCATGCTGCTCAGAAGTACAAAGAAAAAAATAAATGACTTCCCTACTACCTTAAGATTCTAAAATAGAGGGTTTTTTTGGGGGGTTGGGGGGATTTCGACTTAACACATTTAATAAGCTTACTTTCCCCTGATGCCTCAAAATCTTCCAGCCTCTAAACACCATTCTGATACAAGAGGGGTGGTCAGTGTTTTAGAACAGATTCCTATTAAAAACTGTCTAAAATCAAAAGCAGTCATTCTCTCAATATCACATAAGAAAACTGAAACAGGATTCCACTGTGAATCACCTCTACCCCTCTGCCAATGAAAAGGCCTACACTCTCCTATCCAAAGATGCTACAGCAGTGCTGAGAGCAACAGCTGCTACGCCCTCTCCTCCAGGATGCATGTCTAACACAAAAGCTTTAATTTCACCCCTCCATGAAGCCACCACGTATCACCCCACCTTTTCATTTGCAACCCCTCACAGACCAGGTCTTTTCCCACTCTACCTCTCCTTCCCCTAAGTCTGGGGCTGTCATTTTAAATTAACCCTTTGGCACCTGCAACCTTCCCACCCCTCCCACCCCCCTGGGAGGGTGCCCTTTAACCCTTCCCTCCAACCCAACGTGTCTGTGAGCCGGGCTCCGAAGGACCCGGCACCTAAGGTACTCCCTTGCTGGTGGCCAGCCTCCTTACCCCTAACCCAGGGAGACCTTAACCTCCTACAGCCCCCTTCCCCTGAGCATGCGCACAACTCGCCCCTCGGCCCGAACGCAGATTAACCCCTCCCGTACCGTGTCTCTCTCCGACTTCAGCTCCTCGATCTCCTTTTCCTTAGCCTGCAGCTGCTGCTGCTGCTGCTCGATGAGGTCCAATTGCAGCAGAAGTATCTGTTTGAGGCAGGCGGCCTGACTGGAGGCTCCCGAGCCGCCGCCACCGCCGAGAGGGCTCTTCCTCATACTCTTCCATCTGCCCTCGCTGGCCGCCAGGGTCCCGGCGGTGGCGGTGGGCGCGAGGGGTGGCGGCCCGGGCAGAGGTAGTGGTGGGGGTCCCGCCGAGTCCGAGGCGGTGGCGGCCGGGGGAGCCGCCCCACCCTTGTCCCCAGCCCAGGGCGTAGGCTCTTTGGCCGCCGCCACGAGCGAGCCCGTCTGAATGGGCAGCACCGCCTGATACTTGGGTCGAGGACTGCAGCCGGCTCCGGCCGCCGCTGGCTCCCCCCCAATGCCGGCTTGTTTGGTGGCCGGGGGCGGACAGGGCAAGGGCACCGAGCCGCCCCAGCTCTCTTCCTGCTGCCCGGGGGCCGCCCCGGCCGGGAGCAACAAGCCCCGGCCCTTGCCGCCGCAGCCGGCCGGAGAGGGCGCGGGGCTGCCGCCCTGCGAGGAGGCCAGCGGGGGCCCCGGCTCCTTGAGCTTACGGTGCCGGGGGAGGAAGTGGGCTTCGGCCGCCCCGGGCTCGTCCTCGGGCCCGCCCAGCGCCGCAGCCCGCTCGTAGTCCAGTCGCTGCTCGGGGTTGCCGCCGGCAGGGGCCGCGGCCGCCTTGAACACTGCGGATCTCATGGTCATAGTGGTCCGGAGCGGCGCCGGGGACCGAGACTGAGGAGGGGGTGGGGAAGGGGCGAGGTGCGGGGGGTCGAGGACGGAGGAGGGGGAGGGGAGTTTGGCGGGCTCGCCTCAGCAGCGCGGCAGCAGGCCTCGGCTAACGCGGCTCCTCCGGGGCCCGGGCGCCATCCCGCCGGCACGCGGCGAAGTGGAGGCCGCGGCTGAGGCCCGCCGCCGGCCCATGGGGGCCTCGCCGCCGCCTCTGCTGCCGCCGCCGCCGCCTTCGCCTCAGAGGCAGGAGCTCGCGCCCAGCCGCCCCCGAGCTCATCCCCGGAGCTCGCTTCGGCCCCCCCTGGCCCGGCCGGGCCCGCCTCGTCTCCCCACCCCACACCCCCCTTCCCCGCCCCGGCCCCCCGCCCCGGAGCTCGCCTCAGCCGCCCCGAGCCTCCATTTCCCCCCGCTCCTCCTCAGGAGGGGGTGGGAGGGATGGGTCCGCCCAAAGCTCTCCTCCTCCGGGAGGGGGGTCTGTCACCTCCCCCGGGGGTCTCCGCGGCTCGGGGTCCCCTCCCCCACAGTCACCCCCGGCGCCTCAGCGTTTCCCTTTAAAAAAACGGAGCCGCTCGTGGCCGCCACAGCCGCAGCCGCCGCTGACCGGAGGGCGCATGCGCCGGGAGGGCAGCGGGCGGGAGTGAACCCGGAGCGGAGAGGAGGGGGGCGGGCCGCCGCCGCCGCCGCCGCGAGGGGGGCGGGGAGGGGGCCGCCCGGGGCTGGCGAGGGGAGGCCGGGGATCAGGACCGAGGAGGCGGCGGAGGAGCGGGGTGAAGGTGGGCTGCCGGGGGAGGGAAGAAAGGGCGAGGGTGGCGACGGCGGATGGGGAACGCGGGGGCTCCAAAGGAACAAGGAGGTGGGAGAACGGAGGGGAGAGGAAGGCAGGAGGCTACGGGAGGCAGAGGCGCCCTCCGTGGACTTGGACCCATCGCGCCACGCACCCGGCGCCGGGCGCTGGGCGGCCCCTTGCCCGGACCAGCGGCCCTCGCAGCCCTGCAAACCTCCTGGACCAGCGTCAGGATTCAGTGTCCTCTTGGAGCCTGTGGGTGTTTCCCAGGGGTAGAATTCGAACCCGCCACCCCCTCCACTGCCAGCAGCTCCACGAGGGTTCCACACCAGAAACGGAAGAACCTCTGGTCCCCACAGTGGGGGAAATCCATCAGGTCTGCTGCCCAGGGACTTGGCCACCCACCAGCCCTTGAGCGAGTATTGCCAGTTACCAACAGTTCTTTCCCCATGGCTGTGTCCCCAGCCTTCTTGTCATTTCTAGCATCTTCTAGAATTTAGAGGTTCATGAAAGATTGAAGCAAAGGAAGTCTCAGAAGGGATTTTTTAAAAACCTTTACTGGGAATAGGAATACTTTAGGATATTCTGCTCTGCTGAGCACTTCTTCCTATCTCTACGTTCATTCTGTATGCGTATGTCTTATTTCCAGGCAACTTTAGCCAGTAAATCCCCACAGAACTCCTCATGGAGAAAGTTTTAAGTAGTTTTAGTTGGTTTCTCTTTTCTGCTGAAGCATATATGTATATTTTCAATCCATATGGAAACGAAGATGACTAACTTTCTTGGCCTAATGTGAAACCCCTAATTAAAATTAAGTCTTTGCATCGTGGGCCCAAAGCATGAAGCGCTGGAAACAAACAACTGGGTGTGAGTGTATTTCGAAGCCAAGAGAGCGCCAGTCCTCTCCCACCAGATTCTGTGGCCTCAGATGTGCAAGGGAAGTATTAGGGTTAGGGATACCAATGAAGGGGGATGTGGCGGCAGGTGATCTCATGTGGTGATCGCTTCCATTATCAAGACTTTCAACACCATTTCTGCCCTGACAACTCTCAAAACGTGTATCTTCTTCCTAACTCCAAAATTGTATACCCAACCCCAGCTTGTGTGCATTGAGTGCTGCAGGTGACCCAGTGGGTTGCTGGGTTGGATTCCCAGTCAAGGCACATGCCTGGGTTGTGGGTCAGGTCCCCAGTAGGGGGCGCATAACAGGCAACCACACATTGATGTTTCTGTTCCTCTCTTCCCCCTTTCCCCTCTCTCTAAAAATAAATAAAAAATATTTTTATAAATTGTATATCCAACTACCTAGGAGACATCCACTTGGGTGTGTAATAGGCATTTCAAACTTACATCTAAAATCACACTCTTGAATTTCTCCCACCCAAATCCTGCTTTTTCTTCAGCCTTTCTCTCCATCTCACCTTATGTCTATTCTTTAAAATATGTATCCAGAATCCCATACCATCACAACACCTCCACCACCTTAGTCTAAGCCGTACCCATATCTCATTTTTTTACTACCTTGTAATTAATCTCTCCGTTTCAACCTTCACCTTCCTCTTAAATCTGTTCTCAACACAGCAGCCACAGTGATCTTGAGTGAGATCATGATATTTCTCCACTGTAAATTCATGGTTTCCCATCTTACCTGGAGTGAAAATAAAATCATTATTATGGGCCTTTGCTGGTGTGGCTCAGTGGATTGTGCACCAGCCTGCGAACCAAAGGGCTGCAGATTTGATTCGCAGTCAGGGCACATGCCTTGGATGCAGGCCAGGTCCCCCAGTGGGGGATGTACAGGGGGCAACCGTACATTGATGTTTCTCTTCCTCTTTCTCCCTCCCTTCCCCTCTCTGAAAATAAATAAAATCTTTTTAAAAAACATTATTATGGCCTACATAGGACCTGGCCCCCTGCCACTGCTCAATGACTTACACTCCTACCGCTTTCCTCTCCAGCCCACACTCCCCACCCCTCTTAGCTGTTTTTCAAATACCTGTTATACGTCTGCTTAGATCCTTTCACTTGGCTGATCCTGCCACCTAGATCACTTCTTAAGATATCCAGGTGCCTTCCTCTCTCATTCTGAATATATTTTCATCAGATCTTCTCCAGGTACCCTATGTAAACTCACAACCCCCTTCCAAAATCTCTCTTTCTGCTTTATTTTACTTTTGATTCTGCGAGGACATTTATTAAAACTGGGGACAGTGAAACAAAGAAGGGCCTAGGATGGAATAAGCAACAGGAGAGAGCCTCGGTGGAGCTTTGTCTCTAGAAATGTTATAGGAAAGGGAGCCTCAGAGACATGCTCCAGGATTAGCCCAGGATAAGCTGTCACTGCTCATTGTTCCCAAGTGAGGTCCCTTAAAAGTTTAGGAGGTGTGGGCCTGCTGGGAAAGAAGAAGGAGAAGGGAGAGGAGTAGGTATGCTCCCTAGGAGGGAGAGGGCACCCACTTTATTTTAATTCATAGTACTATTAACATCTAACATGTAATTTACCTTGTTTATTGTCCTGTCGCACCAGAATGTTAAGCTTCATGTTTCGTTCACTACTGTATCCTCAGCACTTAGAACCATACCTGGCACAGAGTAGGCATTTAATATTCAGTAAATGAGTAAATGAGCTGTTTAGTTATATTAAGGAGAAAGCATCTACCCTTGACCTTTACCTTGGTTGAGAGTGACGATCATATTGGGTTGGCCAAAAAGTCTATTTAGTTTTTCCTGTGAAATAAAAAACATACTTCATTTTCACCAATAACTACTGATTTGGATATTTTGAGTATGTCAGCTATCTCCCACTATTGGCTTCTAGTGGGTAGAGGCCAAGGGTGCTGCTAAACATCTTCCAATCCACCTGGCTGGTGTAGCTCAGTGGATTGATCACAGGCTGTGAACCAAAGGGTCATTGGTTTGATTCCCAGTCAGGGCACATGCCTGGGTTTTGGGCCAGGTTCCCAGTGGGGGCCATGTGAGAGGCAACCACACACTGATGTTTCTCTCCCTCTCTTTCTCCTTCACTTCCCCTCTCTCTAAAAAGAAATAAATTAAATAAAAAAAAACATCTTCCAATCCATAAGACAGCCCCACAGCAAAGAATTATTTGGCCCAAATGTCAACATAACCAAGAAACTTCACAAACCACTTTTTTAAAAAAAGATTTACTTTTAGAGAGAGGGGAAGGGAGGGAGACAGAAATGTCGGTGCAAGAGATGTCCATTGCTTGCCTCTCGCACACCCCCAAACAGGGACCTAACCCACTACCCAGGCATGTGTCCTGACTGGGAATCAAACTGGTGACCTTTTGGTTTGCTGGCCGGCACATAATCCACTGAGTCACACCAGCCAGGGCACAAACCACTTTTGAAATGTTTAGTTAGTCAGAACACTCCCATACACTACGCAAATCTTGTTTGTGTTTGTTTGTTTTTACTTTTCTTGAGATAATAAACCATAATACGCTGAAAACATCGCGTAGTTTCTTCCATCTTCAATACTAAAATGGCTACACAAAAATTCACCAATGTTGATTTAAAAAAAAATGCATGCAAATGCATTTGACAGCTGTCACAATACAATCTAACAGAATGGTTTCGAATGAAGTTAAAAGCAACTAAGCACTACTAGAGCCACAGTACGGAAAAAACTAAACAAAATTTCTGGCCAACCCAATAGAGGGAGTGACAAGCGGGAGACTCAGTGGTTATAAGCAATGGCTCTGGTGTGAGAGCAAGCAGCAGTCCCAGTCCTACCATCTCATAAACTTGTATTTAGAAACACAGAAATGTGGATGTCATATAATTTTTTATGTGTTGTGAAATAGTCTAGATTTTACAGCTACTTGAACATTCTGAGCTTATTCTTAGCCTATGGCACATAGCCCAAAACGGGCATTGGGCTGGGTTTGGCACTCAGGCTGTAGTTTGCCTACCACTGGCCAACAGACCAAACTGGAGCCAATCTTCAACAAAAGCTGGGAGGAATGGCACTACATAGTACCCATGTAAGTCATGCAGGGTGGCCTAGAACTGTTATTTATTCCAAGATTACGTGCTTCCCACTTTGTGTGCATTAAAATGTACTTTCTTATGTGAACTTATGGCGACAGTAAATAGCAGCTAGTGTCATTAGTTTTTTTTAATGTCCTTCCTTGGCAAAATAAAAAGCTGGTAATCTTGTATCAGTCCCTCACATTTTTTTTTTTTCTGGAAACTTTGCAAGTCTTAAATCCAAAGTCTAGGATTTCACTGCTCCAGACCAAGTCAACATGCTCCTCTCCCTAAAGCCAAAAGGCTGGAATTTTGGGATCGGAAGTCTAATCTTCCTGCTCTCTATTGCACGGGATGAGGTGGATGATCCACCAAAAACTGAAACCCGGGGCCAGAAGCTCTTCCAGGAAGGGGACCGTTAGGTTTCAAGATGTGGTAATACCTGAACTAAGATAGGCAAGAGCAAAAGGCCAAGAGGGGAAAGGTGGAGCTGCTTGCTGTGAGGGAGCCTAGGAAACTGCCTCGGCCCAAAGTCATGTCCCGGAACAGTTTTCTGCCCCTTTTATCTCTAATGACACAATGATCATTCCCTTTTGCCCTCAGGCTAAGGGAGCGGACGGAGATAAAGCCACTTTCACTACCACTCTACTTTTGGAATGGTGGGATCGCCTTTCTTTCACGGGAATGCCTAATGGGCGAAAAGACCACGTTGCAAACCCTTTTACCTGCCTGGGTCTTGGTCTCTCCAGGACAAAAAGAAAATTGAAATAGAACATTTTTAAGGTTCCTTCCGGCTCAGAAACTGTATGAAGATGTGTTTTCCTGCTAAC